AATTAAAAACCATTCATTTATTTGGGTTATAAATATATCTAAGAGAGGGGACATTTGTTTTATAATACTCTTCTACTGATCCTATATTAATGTTTAACGATGAGCTTGCCTTGCTGCAAGTCGAGGGAGACAAATATTAAAACACGTATAGCTCTGCTTTTGACTCAACAATAACATATAAAATATGAAATTCTTCATCAACATTAGCCCTAATTTCCTTGAGTTCTAATAAAATGCTCTCCGCTATTCTCATCTTTTTAATCAAGTCATGTCATGTTTTTGAAAAGTATTACATATAGTTGTATAATTAAATAAAACATTCTTATGAGGAAAAAAATTTGAAATAAGCATTGAATCCAATAATTTTCTTGCTTCTGAGGAAAAATTTCTTTCAGGCCATTGTGATATTTCAGTAATAGCAAATAATCGGCTCTTCTAACTCCATAAAAGCTATTACTGCTTTATGGCGAGGACTCTATCTTTTTGGACAAGCTTGCAATTTCTTTCTCCCTGTTGGACAAGGAGTTTCAGAAATAATTATTATTTGACTAGAAATTTGAAAATGGTAGATAAATATTACGCCACTAAAAATTTGAAAATAATAAGTAAATATCACGCCGGAAAACTTGAAATCGAAATTAATTGATAAAATAACAGTAGATGAATGTGATAAATAAATGTAATTAAATATTTAATATGAGATAGGAATAAATATTAACAAATACAAATTAATATAAACAATAATATTTTTGAAAAATATATCCGGCATCTGCATTTTTTGGCTTTGGGGGAGAGATTTGTCCCCTTGCACCCCCTCCCCCGCTGCGTACGCGCCTGACCCCTTTTAAATATTAAAAATTTCTAGAATTATTTAGATAGATGAGCCATTTATTTTAGCTCTCTAACACACCTGGTTCCCGAAATATAGGGGCTCATAGGTGCAAAAAAGAGCCACTTTGGAATGAAATTATCAATATTTCATTAAATTATTTTTTAGAAATTTATATTATTATTAGCTGAGCTAAAATTAGAAGAGGAATTTAGTCCATTTTAATTTTTAATCCTACTCCTTATCCTTATTTCAGTTATTATTAAAAATTTTAATATTTCATTCAATAAAAACATTTCCTTCGATGAACATTACTATAGTTAAGCTATTATTATATTATCCAAAAAGAACGTACATACATAATCAAACAATTGTGATATATGAACCAAGAAAATTATTTTTTCCAAAATGATAAAAATCCTGATTATTTTTTTAAAAAACATATAATAAAAATTGGGGAATCTATAGGAGAAATTTCCCCTATGTTACTTCCCTAATCATATTTAATTTTGTAAAACTTAATAATCGTTTTAATTTTTATGCATCCATCTATTCATCTCATACTTTTTAGTGGTATAACATTTATAAGATAACTATACCACAAGACAACATAAGACATTTAAATAGATTATAATGATTACTTATTTTTTATATTCATGATCTAAAAGCAGGGTTGTGCATTTGACCGGTCAAATACAATTCGGTCAATTGACCGATATTTGACCGGTCAAATATGGTCAAATACGGTCAAATATGGTCAAATTCAAATAAATGTTTTTTACACCAATATTAACTTTATTTTGCATTTATATAATATTATAATAAATCTATGTATAATAATAAATATCATAATATTTTTTAATTCATTCTATAGTCAATGTTTCACCCTCCGTGGCAGAGTCTTGTTCCGATTCATATTCAATATCATTATTTTCTTTAATATTTTTAATCAATCTTAAATTATGATACACTCTTACTAATTTTCCTGCTGTAGAAGCCTTTAATCTATTTCTGTTTTTCGTGTGAATATTGCCCCAAACCGACCAATTTTTTTCAGAAGAAGTCGAACTAGGAAATGTTAGTAAAATATTAGCGACTTCTCTTAATAGGCAAGGTGGGCAAAATGCATTCCACCAACTTGAGGCCGAAATTTGATTGTTTCTTATGGAAGTTACAACTTTCCACATATTATGGCTATTAAATATACCGCTTTTGCTTCTGAAATTTACTATATTACTCAAAATATTTTGATTATCACCACCTTGTAAAATACCCAATTCTTGTATTATATTACATGCTTCATCAAATTCAGTATTAGTAAGATGCTCCCCTTGATATTGGGGGTCCAATAAATAAGCAGCATGGTGAGCACATGTATTTATATCAGTTTTTCTCTTTTCAAACATAACCTTAATTTTTTTTTCTTGAGATGGAGAAAATATAGAATCATGGCATGATTGTATTATGTGTTTTTCCAAATTAAGCATCTCGTTTTTTACTTGGGCCAAAGTACATTTATCCCCTTGCACTTTCAACAATGAGGTAGCTAAAGGTTGGAGTATAGCTAAAAATTTTAAATTTTTCATCCAAAATTCTTCGTTTAATATATTATTGGTAATTTCTATGGGACAATTATCACAAACAGCTTCTTCAACAACTGATGCTTTTAGAGCTTTCTTGCATATTTGAATTTGCTCCATACATTTTATTGACGATGCCCATCTTGTTTGGCTAATTGTACTTAATGTAGATGGTATGCCATGAAGATTCTTATTACGGGAAAATACTGCAGCTGGTATGTGTTTATTCTTGAAAAATTTAACAATTTTTTTAATTATTGAAATATGGTCACTGAAGGCGTCCAATCGTTCAAAATCGTGAAAGAATAACTGCAATGTATGCGCTGCACAACCATAACATTGTATATGATTATAAATAGATTCAGATTTTAGAATTCTCCAGGCTTCTTTCATGTTAGCGGCATTATCAGTAACTAAAGAATATACTTTTACCGGATTCAATTCATGAATTACATTTTTAAATTCCTGGGCAATATAATCTGCCGTATGGCGATTTTCCTCAGTATTTAGAAATTTGTAGAACACTGGAACAGGCGTCATCACCATAAAATTAATAATACTCTCGTTTCTAATGTTGCTCCAGCCATCTGATACAATTGATAAGTAAGGAGCTTTATCTATTATATCTGCAACTCTCACCTCCATATCACCTGACGCTTTGTCTAGAAGATATCCAGCCAGCTGCCTTCTCCTGGGTAATGTGTAAATAGGACGTATTTTTTTAAAAAATTCTTGGATGTAGGGATTTTCAGTGATGTGGAAAGGTAAATTGCTCGCATATACAGCCTTTGCAAACAATTGATCCAGCTCATTTTTTTCTTTGGGATTAATTCTATCTATGAAACCGGTTATACAAGATTGAGATTTATATTTAATCGCCTTGCTTGTAGATTGATTAGAAATAAGGGAATCAAATTCTCCTGAGTCACAAGACAAAATATTGTTCATTTGATAATCATTCTCACTAATTTCACCCAATTCTTCATTAGAGTTAGACTTAGAAGTATTACAAATTACATTTGTGATATTTTTTGTAGAGGTTGATATTTTGGAATTTGAATAAAATTTTTCCTTAATTATAACAGGGCACATAGTACAGCTGCTTAATAAATGTTTGACCATTCTATCAACGTGGGTGATATAGGACATCTTGCAAAACTTGCACACCGCTTTAACTGATTTACCATCGCGTACTTCTTGAAAATGTTTCCAAACATGATGCTTTGGTTTGACCATAATCCCTAATATAATAAAATTTAACAAAAAATGATTTTGATTATTGTAAAGTTAATCAATCTTAACTATTTTATAATTATCGACCAATTATTCCAATAATTTCTTAATATTATAAATATAATATAATAAACTTTTTACCAGAATTGAATATTCCGTAAATCTGACCAGAACAATTAAAATGAAAATTAATTTTAAAAACCAAATATAGCAAGTGTAAGTAAAACAAATGAGAATTAATATAATTTATACTCGGCTAAATATTAAATAAAATTTAAATTTATTAAAAAATAAGAATGAAAAAATTATATTATGATTATAATAAATCGGGTATTTTTATTTTTTTTAAGAAAAATGAATTGAAAAAAATAAAGAAGGCAAGAAACGGCAATGATTAGGCAAAAAAATAACTTAAAATATTACTATATTTAGAAAAATTACATATTTATATTTTAATAAAAAAATAATAAGATTGATAAACATGCTTTTAATGCATACTAGTTAATTATATCAAAATATTTATTCGCCATTAATATTTTAGAGTATTTGACCGTATTTGACCAGTCAAATACTCCTCCGGTCAATTGACCAGTCAATTGACCGAATTTGACCGGTCAATTGACCGACATGCCAACCCTGTCTAAAAGTATATAAAATATTTTTATTGATTAATCATTTATTTATATAATAACATTAATCTTTTACATAAAAGTAATAAACAAGTGTATATTATGAAATTTGAAAGAAATTATATTAAAATTAAGATGCGATTTTATAGGATCAGAAAATTTTATAATATAGGCCAATAACCGATATTAAAAAAATATAAAATATCGGCCTGATCCGATAAAAAATATCGCTACACCCCTAATTTATTTATATAGTGAAATTGTTGTAAATTTTTAGCTCCAAAAGTCTTTCTATCCTGTTGAAATTAAAGAGATCGAAATAGTAAAGTTATGATCAATTTAAACTGTTAGAAAAATTTTTTAAAATATTAATAAATTTAAAAATAATAGACGCCATTTTCGGATCATGTTGACAAATTTAATATGATAACCGATACTTCAAAAATGCAAAAATTGGTCCGATCCGGTACAATGAAAAATCGGCACATCCTAAATACTATGCACAAATTATGTTTAATATGGAAAATCGGTATCGGGTCGGTTTATGAAAATATTGGCCCTATCCTATATTTTCTTTAAAAGTCAATATCAAATTCGATAACAATATAAGGAATTGTTTATTTACAATTTTTTGTTTCCTTTATCTGGGAAGATGGGTGTGTTAAACATACATAAACCCTTTAACCGAAGCAATTAAATTTCTAAATTTTTTTTATCACGAAAACTTAGAGAATGAATTTGCTATAGACGCTTCAAACAAAAATATTAAATGGGATCTATTGTGCGATGATAATTGTTATGGGATATCCATATCCTTATATGAGCAATATCCCGACGGAACCCATTATTCAGGTTCTACAAATTAATAAATTTTAGCTTTCCTATCCTCTTAACTAAATACAAAAAAAGTTCTTAAGATTTATTTCTGAAAATCTCAAATATATTCGATCACTATAATTTTAACCTATTCAATATGATTTTCTTGTATTAATTAATTTTTTTTGTAAATGAAATATATCTAGTAATATTTTTATACGAATTGTTATGTGGAAGTTATATCAATCTATTTTTTATTTTTTTAAATGTTGGATTAGTATATCCTATTCATTCCTCTTCTTTTCTATTTAAGCTAATCAAGTCAGTTGAAAAACTGAAGTTGGTGATTCATTGATTATTCAAGATATATACATCTAATAGGAAAATTAGGAGCATCCTCTTGTTTTATATCCTCTACGATTTGTAAGGCAAGATAGAATGGGGTTCATTTATATTATATAAATCACCTGGAAGAACTTGTTGTTACTTCGTATAATTTACAAAAAATAAGTCAACCTTCTTCATATTATGTGACCCTAAGCAAACTCGTGGCTTTTAGTGATCTTATGATTACTTTATCATTTAAAATTGATATTTAGTCTGAGTAACTTTTATAAAAAAAATAATTAGTTAAAAATGAAATAAATTAAAAAGTTATTTTTGACATGTTAAAATTTAAATTGGCATTTAATTCTCACGCACATTTTTGAGTGAACACTTCTTGTTAATATACATTTAGGTTTCAATGTCAAATATCAAAGTTTCGCAAGCCTTAAAATTTTGCTTATAGATGACCCGAAGGTTTGGAAATCTATTTTGTGAAATCTCGAGGCTTAGATAATATTTTTCTGGCTAAAATATTGAGTTAGCTTTTTTAAATATCCGCTCAAATCGAGCCATTTCACTACGAAGAAAATGTTTTTTCATTGGTAGAAGTACTAAGGGCAGATTTGCTAAAATATATAATAATTTTAATCAAGCTCGTAACCAATAAGGGAAATAAGGAAATTCCTCCCTCCTCATCGCAAATTTGACTGTTTTCATAAATATCATTTTAAGCGAATAAAAATTTACCCCCCCCCCTTAAATCTTGAAATATCAATTAGATTTTATCTTTGCTGCTAGTTGCATATTTTTCTATAGCTCACTACTTTGTAGAAATTTATAAAAACCAAATTTAGATTTGGTTCAGATTATTGATTTGGCGGAAAATGTATATGTAGATGAATATTTTAATAATATTTATCTAGACGTTAAATCGAAAGCTAAATCTTATGATATAACACTAATTAAACCTCGTCTAGCACCTAGATAATTATCGAGATGTAATATAAATGTTGATTTAACTGAAGAATATTATAAGATATCCATTTTCATCACTTTTTTATCGCAAATAAAAGTATGGTTTTAGATAATAAACAAGTCTTTAGCAATCTTCAGTTTTATTACCTAAAGACCCTTCTTCGTTTTCTGATGCCACTATTGGTAAATTGATACTGAACAGTGAATTCGAATTGTGGTATAAATATTTGCTACTTCTGGTTATTTTACCTGAGCATGCTATTGATCCGCTCAATCGATGTAAGGAAACCTTGGCTCAATTTCCAAATATTTTGAAGTTGTTTTATATTCTTGCATGTTTCCCTATTACAACATGTACGAATAAAAGACCTATTCCAACTTGTGAAGGTTGAAAATTTATTAACGAAACACTACCGAATCTCGGCTAAATGGGTTAGCTCTGTTAAATTTCCACAGAGATTTGATTCCAACTACAAACGAAATTCTTGATGAATTGGCAAATTTCCCACGAAAATTAAAATCAAATTGTAATTATAGTTTTAATAAATTTTTTTTATAATACTTTATTTGAAAGAAATAAAAACTTGATATTAAATTATTTTCTAGTCAATATTTTATAGACACTACAATTAGTATATTTTTTTTATTCTACTTATATTGTATGAGAATTTAAGCTGAAGCTAGTTTTTAAAGCAAATTTTATTTAAAAAATGTCACTAAACTTTATTTAAATTTTACATTAAATTTTTTTTTATTAAATATAATATACACCTAACTTAAAATAATAAAGAAATTGGGTTATATATAACCTTTTTCTTCTTTAAATATCCATAAGCACGAATTAGTAAATAAAAGCTAAAAATATAGAATAGCTCAAACATATGACCCGGCCGAAAGACAGCTAAAGGGGGTTTGGGGGCCAAAATCCTAGATACGCCACTGTTGGAAAATTGTCTAAAATTTATTTGAAATTATTCGAAGTATCTATAAAAAATTTTAGATTATTATCAACCATGTTTAACCTTTTATACCATAGTTTTCATTCAGCTAGTAATGCATCATGGGATACTTTAACATTCACTTCAAATTGATAGCTTATCAATAGAAGGACTAAATTTTATTTAAACATATATCATAATTATTTTGAATAATCGGAATATTCATTTAACGATTCACACAAAATGAATAATTTTCTATTCATATTTGTTAATATTCAATTCGACTCGAATTATTTGATATGAAAAGAATATTCGACTCGTTTTTAAACAAGCCTACTAATTAGTATCATTTTTTAAATTAGGAGCTTTTTTTAATTAATGCCCATTTAAACTTCTAACATTGAATACCCCTAGACTAAAAATAACTTTTATGCTAGAATGCTTTATATTTGAAATTAGGTTGAATTTTTATTATTTTTTACTATTTAAGTTTCATATTTCTCCGAATGTTTAAAATGTGAAAATTTATATACCGAAACATCATTTAATTTGTGGTGTCAATTTATTTATTAATTATTATTGTTTTTTTATCACTCTTTATTTTAAATAAAATATATCATTTTAAAAAAATCGTTGGATTTAATTTTGAAACTTATCGATTTTTACTTATGTATTAATTATTTCCTTTTTCGAATAAAGAATGAATGAAAAAAATTAATAAGGGGGAAATAAAGGAATAAAAAATATATAAATGAATGAAATAATTTTTAATAGAATTATTATTTATTAGGAGATCCTAATGCTGATGTTTTTGCCATATACAAAACCGGTAACCTCTGTATATTGAGCATAGCGGATGGCGTTAATTGGGGCATTAAAGCTAGACTCGCTGCACAATGTGCTGTTAAAGCATCTTTACATTCAATCATTCATTCAGTGGGTCATATGAAGAATAGCACTCATAGTTCAACTCTAGTTAATTAAGAAACTAATATTAAAATATAAGAAAGTCCGAAAGAAAAAAAGAAAGTTAGATAAAGAAAAAAATGGAAGAAATTAATAATGAAAGAAAAGAAAAATTATTATCGCATTTTTTATTTAAAAAAAAAATTATATACAAATCCTCATATTTTAAAAAGGTAATGTTCGACTATTTGCTTAGATCTTTCACCGCCGCCCATATAGAAATTCTCAAAAATAATGGTGGCCTTACCACTTTAACAATAGCCGTTATTTGTGAATCAATAAAAACCACGTTGAATTCAGGTTATTTGACACCTTTTTCTTTTCTTCTAACTTCACAATCCATTCTTCCTTAGTCTGTATGAAACAATTATTTATGATTTTATATTTTTCTAAGAAAATAAGGATGAAAAAAATAAGGAATATACGGTATGCATATGCAAAGTTGGAGACAGTAACGCTTACGCCTTTGACCCTCAAACTGGTCTTGTCATCGATTTAACTCAAGGTCTAATATATACATTTATAATTAAATTTAAAATTATTATAAAAAGGCACTTATTTAACATATGTGGTAAAATTATCTATTTTAAATTGCTTTTTGTGAATTATAACACGTATTTTTCTGGTCAGATCGTTAAATTCTATATACATCAACTATTTTTTAAAGAGGCAATCATGCCCATCGCATAATATATATGGTGATTTCCATATCAAATCAACAAAAAAAGTCGATTTTCAACCCGACCCCCAATTTTTCTTAAATTTTGTATATTGGTAGTATATGCTATAACTAAATAAAAAATGAAATTTTACCTTCCAACACTGTTTACCCGCTAAGATATGGCCGTTTAAAGCGCGGAAAAATGGTAAATTTTTGACAAAATGCACTTCATTTATTTTCAAATATCTCGAGAAATAATTATGTTAGAAAACAATTTAAATTTTATTTTGTAGCTTAATAAAAGTTCTTTAAAATTACTAAAAATAAATATGATGGACATTTTATAAATATCGAAAACCGGATGTGTAAAACCGGAAATGGCCATAGAAAAAAAAGGTATTTTTCTAAAAAAATTTTCTGTAGATAGATATCACACTGCTTTATATTTGTACAGAATCCTAGACTGGGATGAACATGGGTTTAGGAGTTATCACTCTTTATATGGCTAAAATTGAACAAATTTAACATTAATATCATCATATTTTAATTTAATGAATAGTTATGAAATAATGTTAATCTAAAAATTATGTCTAAATGATAGGCCCTTACTTTTTTTTATCTTTATAAAAAAAATTTGAGAGGTGGCTGGATAATGAGCTGTTTAAAACTTTAGTTAAATTTTATCTCGAAATTAAAATTACTTGACAAAATAATTTTAAATATTTTATTTAGCATAAAATAATCTGCCAAAATTGAAAATAAAACATTCAAACAATGGATAGCAGTTGATCGAACTACCCTTGAAACACTGATAAAATCTGCTGACGAATTTGTAGATTATAATTGAATAATTAAACAATTTAATTCCTCATTTGTTTATAGCTTCACGATAATCATTAATTCGAAACTTTTTAAAATTCAATTTAAATGTTGGCGAATTCTTAGTCATTGCAGACTTTTCAGAAGACTATGCATTTGTAGTGCAGAACCATACACAAGGATGTAATCAGACCAATAATCAAGCCACTATCAACTCTTTTATAATTTATTACCGTAAGAACAACATAATAAAACATGTAAATTTAGTGGTTATATCAGATTGTTTAAAGCACAACGCATGTGCATTTTATTTATTTTAAAAATTAATCGTATTCTTGAAGGAAAGATTTAATAGAGTGGCTAAAATTTATTATTTTTCTGATGGAGCAAACCAATATAAAAATAAAAGATTTCATTAATCTCTACAATCATGAAAATGATTTTGGGATAAAGGGTAAGTGACATTTTTTGAACCGCACAAGGTAAAAGTCCATGACTTGGGGGCCGTTACTAAACGGTTAGCAGCTCGAGCAAGCTTGCAACGTCCATATGAACATCACATATTAACAACAATAGATTTATTTAACTATGCAAGAAATAATATCTATGGGGTAAATTATATATTTGTGAGCACTAATGAATATATGAACAAAAGTCATCTTGAAAGCAGGTTTTTGAGAGCAAAGAAAATTTCTGGAACACAAAGTTCCAAGCTTTTATTCCCCTAGACGAAAATAAAAGTCATAATTTATTAAAATTCCTTGGATGATTATAATATATGATATATTTTAATTATAAATTTTTGATTGTATGTAATGCAATTTGAGGCAAATAAAGTTATAAATATGTTTAGAATTATTTTGTCAAGTAACTTCGAGACAAAATTTAACTAAAGTGTTAAACAAAGCTCATTATTCCAGCCACTTCTCAAAAATTTTGATAAAGATAAAAAAAAGTAAGGACCTATCTTTAGACATAATTTTTAAATTAACATTATTTCATAACTATTCATTAAATTAAAATATGATGATATTAATGTTAAATTTGTTCAATTTTAGCCATATAAAGAGTGATAACTCCTAAACCCATGTTCATCCCAGTCTAGGATTTTGAACAAATATAAAGCAGTGTGATATCTATCTACAGAAAAAAATTTTGAAAAAAAAAATATCTTTTTTTTCTATGGCTATTTTCGGTTTTACACATCCGATTTTCGATATTAATAAAATGTCCATCATATTTATTTTTATGTCATTTTAAAGAACTTTTATTAAGCTACAAAATAAAATTTAAATTATTTTTTAACATGATTATTTCTCGAGATACTTGACCATTTTTCCGCGCTTTAAACGGCCATATCTTAGCGGGTAAACAGTGTTGGAAGGTAAAATTTCATTTTTATACTACCAGTATACAAAATTTAAGAAAAATTTAAGGGGGTCGGGTTGAAACGTTAGTTGATTTGATATGGAATTCACCATATACATAAAAGCATTTCTATCTGATAATACTGGTAGCCAAATCATCTTAGTCAATTTACGCACATTCACAGATGTCTCCATGTTAGAGAAATAAAAGAATGAATGAAGGAAGGAGAACAGAGATCGTTCTTTATAATTTAATTTCTACTAAAAGAAAATCTGACATCAATATTTTCTTATCTCTATCTGTCTCTTACATCTTTTTTAAGCACAACGCAATTGGAGAGACATTTGGACTTTAGTTTTTCTGAAACTCCGATGGATTAGAGCTGTTGAAGAGTTTAAAGTTCTATCCAAATGTTATCGGGCTGCTTTTAAAACAAAATTATTTGGGGTTTCGTTTTAATGTGCTTTAAAATCCTTTTACGAAATCTAATTTATTTGTAAATAATTATTAAAATATATGTTGCCTGTTACCCAACCCCAACCTACATTGATCCTCGGGCTATTAATCTTTATAAGATGTAATCTTTTTAATGGGTCTGTCTATCAAATTTATTCCTCTTTACATTTTAAATTTATTATAATTTTATTTTTATATTTAATGGTTAATATACACTTAATCACTATATCAATAATTTGATTATTGTAAGATTATAAAGATATTAGTCTTCTTTGAGTCCAATACGGCGTCTTCTTCTAAGGAGATCTTGTTTTTACACCATTCTGCCATTTCATTAAGAACACTTATAATAGTCCCCTCTAATTCAAAAAATTATTGACTGCTTGATGGCGAAGACTTTTTAAAGAACTATATTTATTGGCTTTGGGTGGAGATTTGTTCTTCTGTCACCCTCTGCTGGCTACGCGTGTGAGAAATATGATAATTTATCTTAATAAAAATTTATCTTTCGGCGTGTCAATATTTTATGTTCTATTTCAACTTTTTGGCAAAATAGATTTTTTATTTTTCAATAAATCTATTCTTTGGTATGATATTATATCCACAATAAAAATATGAAAAAAATAATTTAAGAATATTATATATCAGATTCTGCTATTTGAAAAATATTACTTTACTAGCTGATAGCCCATCAAGAATGACGGGGAATCAGAATTTTTTTATTTATTTAATGATGGATAAATAATAAATTTTCCTATTTTTACACAAAACTCATCTAGCAAGAATATATTTTTTATATTATAAATTACAAATACAAATGAATAAAAATTTAGTTTAAAATATTTTTTATTGTGCACATAGATTAAAATACTAACCATATACTTCATAAACATAATTTATAAAAAATAATGAAAAATTTTAGAATAACTCCTCATCTAAATAAATATAAATTTCTGAATCACATAAGATAGGAAAATTTCTGATTCATTCATCAAATAAAGGAAAATTTATTATTCATCTATAATTGAATAAAGAAGAAAATCTGATTCCCCGTCATTCTTGATAGGCAATCAGCTAGTAACTTATATTTTTGATAACGGGTTTTTAAAAAATCCCTAAAATATATGTAAAAGGAAAGGTCACAATGGGCATTATTTTTTTTGTTATTTCTGTTAAAATAAAAAAGGATTAATATTTCTTCCATATATACACTTCACAATGGCTTTCTTTATTTCCTTGTGTACAACAATTTCTTGAATCCAGCAATTATCAGAAATTTTTTGCAAATGATTTAAATAAGGCATATCTGTGGTTTGATTATTCCTTTAAGTTCAAATAAAGTCAGATTGAAAATGAAATAATTCCTTTATTGAAATTAGAGACTTTCACGGGACTTGATTTTCATCAGCCTCCAGCCCAGGTCAGCAGTAAAAATAATTTGCAGGCCCAGTCCATATTTAATAAAATATTCAAATCCAAGCTCATCATAAGTTTCAAAAATTTTGCCCAAGCCTATATCCAAAAATTTAATTTATTGTTTTAAATGAATAAATAAACAATATTTATGTGTATTTAGGCAATCACTTTGTTTGCAATATTGACATTTATTATTATTAGAAGAAAAAAAATGTAATATATTTTTACAGGGATTCCCATTCAAAAAAGGAAAAGTCCCAATCAAAAGAGGAAAAGTTTAAATCATAAAAGGAAAAGGTCCGATTAAAAAAGTTCAATCAAAAAAGGAAAAGGCCCAAACAAAAAAGGAAAAGTGTCAATCAAAAAAGGAAAATTCCCAAAAAGAAAGGAAAAAGTCCGATCAAAATAGGAAAAGTGTCAAACAAAAAAAAAAGGTTCAATCAAAAAAGGAAAAGTGTCAAACAAAAAAGGTAAAGTGTCAATCGAAAAAGGAAAGAAAAAGTGTCAATCAAAAAAGGAAAATTCCCATTCAAAAAAGGAAAATCGTAATTTTTTTAAATTTTTCTTAAATTTTTATTTATTTTTGTTATTCCTTCTTAATTTATTTCTAAATTTTTGCGATTTTCTTTACTTTTATTTTTCTTACTATATCTTCTCTTAATTTATATTTCTTCTCATTTTTGATAATTCTTTTGTATTTTTAAAAATAATTTATAAATTTAGGTCCATTTTTTTAACAATTCTTTACGATTTTTTTTCATCATACATACATACAATATTCTTTT